AATAATATATTTATAAGGATATTTGATCATAAAGGGGAATTGTAGCAAGGGGGCGTGGTCTCCCTCTGAGACTGATGAGGAGGAACCACTCTTCACCCCCAGGTGGGTGGAACCAGCAAGCCATGCTCACCCCACCAGAAGCAGAGGGGCAGGACAGGAAGTTTAAAAGGCGGACCCTCTCTCCCACTGCCAAACCCTGCACCTGAGACGGACCTCTGCAGTGCCGAGGACCAATGTTCCCTCTAATTTTTTTTATCCGTGTGTGGAATAAATTTTGTTATGTGCACCAGGGTATGTGCGGATGTGTGCCAACAGTAGAAACAAAAAAACCTAGATATAATATATACTTTTAAAAAGTTACCATAGGGATAATTACTCCAGCCAGGACAGGTTAGGCATTTTAGAATTCACTACTCAAATAATTAAATTTAAGTGTAAGAAATAAAAATTATTAAATGCATAGACCAGTCAAAAAACTAAAATAACACACTTTCAAAGAATAAAATAACTGAGAATTTATGTTCATTGTAGGAAGTACCAAGAAATAACAATAATAATAATACAAATATGTGTTGGGAGGGGAGTGAAAGAGACTGTGTGTGTGTGTGAGAGAGAGAGAGATTGTGTGAGCTGGCTGCTGGGGAAGTCTCAGAGACTGTGCACTGTCTCTTTAAGGCACACTCACTCACTCACCCGGAAGGCTGGTTCAGACCTCAGACTGCAACAGCTGACTCCTGCTCCCAGTCCTGAGCCAGGCTGTGCCCTCTTCCCTGCTCTGTGGAGATGGAGTACAGGGGCAGGGGATACCCTGACATCAGTATTCCCCCTCTCCCCCTGCGCTCTGCATAGCCAGCAAGGTCCCGGGACCTTGGAGGGTCCCAGAAGCAGCTGCAGGAGCAACGTGGCTGCAAAGCAGCGGGGAGGGGGGGTGGAGGGGAAGCACCTGAGCACATGCTGATGGATATATGCATTTCTGCTAATCGAGTGTGTGGCACTTGAATCTCTCCTCGGTGGCCAGCCAACTGCGCAGCTTAGAGGAAACACAGCCGAGGACCCAGAGAAGATGCTGGGTCTCCTGATCAACCAGTACCCAGAGGACCTATTGGAACTGTCGCTGGCCATGTACCCCAGGGAGATGGAGGAATCCCAGGAGACAGAGGTACTCTCCAAAGGAGTAGTTTGAAGTAGCCCAGGAACAGACAATAGTCCAGTTGTGTTGCCAGAATTCAGGTCGGTTTATTTCAGTGGGATCCCTGCTGACCCAGTGGTGGAACCATCCACCACTTTTAGGGCCCTGGGCTGGGACCTGCTGGAGTAGGGTGGGCCCAGGTCCCCCTACCCCCTGCAGCTGACCCACCTCTGGGGTGGCCATCTACCCACCTTAGGCCAAGAGGCCTGCTTTTTGTCCGGTGTCTGCCTAGGCCCGGTGAAAGACAGCTTACTGCTATGCCCTGCCCAGAGGGTCATTTAGACTGCCTACTGCGCTGTCCTGCCCAGAGCCCCTGAGACTGCCTACTACTCTGCCCTGCCTAGAGCTCCTGTCTATTGCTTTGTCCTGCCCAGAGGGCCAGAGCCCCTGAGACCGCTAATTCCCCACTGAGCCTTTGTAAATACATGGTAGCGAGGGGGCGTGGCCTCCCTCCGAGACTGATGGGGAGGGATGGCCACAGGCCCTTACAGGAATAATCAGAAGTGTAACTCTGATTAATAGTGCACAGACTCAACTCAGCCACACACCCCAAGGTCCCAGCATTGTTGTTAAAACGAGGAGAACAGAAATTGAAGACCTTACACAGCTGTTCTGGCCTGCTGGAGAACAACCGTTTTTGAAGTGCCTTTGCACTGTATAGTGGACTGTTAAAACAGGTTTAAAGAGATTCAAAGAATCTGGAGGTACTTTGTTTAAATTTATGTAAACTTTAAACTAGAAATTTCAGCAGCTAAGCAGAGTGTTGATGGGGAAACTGCATCTTGAGCAAGCATAACTGCAGAGTTGGATGAGGGGCCCACAGAAAATGACTTACGGCGGTAAGTTGCTGACCAGAGCAAGCCAGCTGGGGTTCAATGTACAACCATCTTGGGACGTACCAACAGTTATTGTCTAACTCGCCTTACACAAGCTGGTGCAACATGACATGTTGCACAAAGACTGGAAAGTTCCAGCTTCAGTTACAAGAAGTCAAAAGATGATGCCTTATTCCTTAATTGGAGGGTGAGAGAGAACAACTCTGTTTGATTGGACATTTCAACTCTTTGGTGGAAATATGGGTCACCATCTGATTAGTCCACACCAGCACCTCCAAGAAGAGGAACCAAAATGGATCACCCAGCAGAAATGAGATAAAACGCTTGTCTCCGTCAGCACATTGTAAACTTTAATGACAGCTAAAGACACCTGGAAAGGAGAAGACTGAGTTCCTGGACCAGCCACTTGGAAGTCCTCCTGGTGATAAAGTACCTATCTTGAATAGGCACCTTTAACTGTCTCTTTCCATCTTCCAGCAATTTGGGTTGCCCACTAGCACACTGGGGAAAGACTATAGTCAGGCCCATCCATTGTTCCACCTGTGCTTACAGTGTCAGCTCCTGCTGTGAACAGTAATTGAGCTGAAAGCTGATGGCTGAGTAAAGATCTGGTGATAAATAACAGAGTTTCTCTTCTGTGATTACCCAAATCAATCAATTGACCATTTCCTGAAACTGGGTACCTAATTAGTAAGGAAATGTACATCTTGTATATGTGCTTTAAAGATTGTCACGGTGTTAGTGTGTGTCCTTATTTTGTAACAGATTACAATCAGGGTTGTTGTAAAAGAGCTTTAAAACTGAACAAGTTACAGTTGTTAACTAAAAATTTAGAACACTGTACATGTATCTATCATGGTGTCTAGGTTCAAGTTCTAGGTGCATAAAAACATAAAACAGACCAAGTGTACAAGCCTCTTGAACTGCAATCAGCTGTACAGTCTGTCATAAATGTCAGATATTTAGGAAAAAGAACGAGGAGTACTTGTGGCACCTTAGAGACTAACAAATTTATTTGAGCATAAGCTTTCGTGGGCTAAAACCCACTTCATTGGATGCATGCAGTGGAAAATACAGTAGGAAGATATTTATACACAGAGAACATGAAAAAATGAGTGTTGTCATACCAACTATAACGAGAGTAATCAATTAAGGTGGGCTGTTATCAGCAGGAGAAAAAAAACTTTTGTAGTGATAATCAGGATGGCCCATTTCCAACAGTTGACAAGAAAGTGTGAGTAACAGTAGGGGGAAAAAATTAGCACGGGGAAGTAGTTTTTACTTTGTGTAATGACCCATCCACTCCCAGTCTTTATTCAAGCCTAAGTTAACGGTGTCCAGTTTGCAAATTAATTCCAATTCTGCAGTATCTCGTTGGAGTCTGTTTTTGAAGTTTTTTTTAGGAGTGTTAAATCCTGGGTCTAATATAATTTGTGGGGAAATAGGTTAAAAAAGGTGGGCTACTATAGATCCATTGAGAAGAAGACCTTGGTGAATTGGCATGTAAGTGGGTGAATTGTCTTATGCTTTAGTTTTGGATCCCCACCTCCCTCCTCTAATGTGTTAATAACCAGTTAGCACAAGTGAGGCCCTATTCTCAAGGACTCTTAGTCAAAACTCTAAACAAAGATACCTTCCCAAGATACTGATTAGGTATAAGTGTTATTTTCTGTTGTAGCTATGTGGTTTGAGTCTGAAAAATTGTCATATTTTAAATCAAGATTGGATGTTTTTCTAAAAGATATGCTCTAGGAAATAGTTCGTGGGAAGTTTTGTGGCCTGTTATACAGGAGATCAGATTAGGTGATCACAATGGTCCCTTCTGGCCTTGCAATCTATATCAATGAATGGCTATATCAATCAATTTCCTAGTCTGTTTGCCAAATCATAGTCCAATACTATTTTTGTCTTATATCCTACACACTTAGTTGCTGTTGTTAGGATATTTAATAAAACTCTAAGACTAAATTCAACTCAAGTCCTTTTCTTTAGTTAAGCAATCAAAATTAAAAGAGCCCTGAGAAAGGTGGAACAGGTAATCAGTTAAGCAGTTGCTTAACTAATTGTATTTTATACCCTATCTTTCTTACATTATGATGTAGATAGTAACAGCATGAGAGATTATGAGGCTTAATGTTTGTAAAGCGCTTTGAATATGAAAACAAATGCTAAATTGTTTTTTGTGGTAGTATTTATTCGCAGTTTACTGAGAGTAAACTACAGCATGTAGGTTTAAATAACTTTGCAGGATGCCACAGCATGTTACAGACAGAACCAAAAATAGAATGATGGTGTCCAAACTTCCAGTCCTGCCACAGTGGAGATGCTTCCTCCTGCATACTTATTAACTCAGATGTTTTAAGTTTTCTATAGATTAATTTTTATTATTATACTTACTAAATTTAAATGAGAAGGTGGAAACTAATTGAGAGTGTTAACAAAAGAAACTTTGGCACTCACAGGCCCCTAAAATGGCCTCGCATGAAATGAAATCCTATTTTATAATCTTCATTTTCTCTTTTTTTTCCCTCCATATCCAAAACTAAAAATTTCAACCCATTACCCAACCCTCCAAGACACGCAAACCTCCTCCCAAGCTGCCTTTGATTTTGAACATTATTTGCTTTATTAAACACATTTCAATAGCTTTATTGACTTTTCCGGATAAAATCAGTGTGTGCAGAAGGCCAAAGCCCTGTGCTTTCTCCCCATTACTTAAGCTTATTAGTGTCCAAAACCAAATCTGTCCAGCTGATGCTGCTGTAATGTAACAGTGCACACCAAACATACTCACCTCCATTGAGTGATGTCAATTTGTTGTATTACTGGGATGCAGTCCAGTGCAAGAGGTCAGCACAGGAGTTATGTTTCTCCGAAAGTTCACTTTAGTGTTATGCTGTTTTGTTTATTTTAAATTTCAAATATGAACATAATTTTTTTTGCTAATATGCTAATTTGTATCTATTTTTTAACAGAGAAATTCGCAATGCTAGAAATCTACATTACATAGATCCAGATGCCTTTAAGATCCTCCCACTGTTAAAATACCTGTAAGTACTGGGCACTTAATTTTCAGAGATTATTCTCAGTGTAGATGTTGCCCTACTACAGTGTAACAATTTCTTTTTCCCTTCAGAGCTGGATGGAAAATTTATTCCGTTTTCTTTTAATGTAAGCATTCAACTAAACTAAGGCTAGTTATAGGCTCTGCAAGCAAGAAAAGAGCTGCAAGCTGTTGTATTAGGGAGTCCCAGGAATGCCTTATGCCCTTTTGGTCCTGTTTCTGAAGTAGGAGGTTAGGTCAGGCTAGAATTAGGCCAAGACTCTGGATCTCATTAGCCTCAAAAGCCCAGCCCTCATCCTAGAACCTGGATAGCTAATTCTTTGGTACATTATTCATTACAATACATGTATTCATTTTTCATATTTACTTTTTTCATTACAGTAATTACACCAGAATAAACTTGGACTGCTCTTGCTGAAAGGGGTAGATACCCACACTTAATCAGGACCTCGATTTGACATCTCATCCAGAAAACCTACGGGGGGAGGGAAGGCATTTGCAAAAGTGTTTTAAAGGTGCCATGAAGGAGGGGTAGGGAACTTTAGTTTGGGCTTTTTATTCCTTTTATTTGCTGCTTGTTCTATACTTTCAGTAATATCAATGAAGTCAAATATAGCATCACAAATTATTGGATATGAATTACTGAGTGAAATTTTGTGGGCTGTGTTATGTAGATTATTAGAATGGTCCCTTCTAGGAATTGTGACAGAATGGTAAAGGCCCTTTTCCTCCCATGAGCTGAAAAGGGGTTACTTCAGGTCAACTAAGGACATGTGCATGGGCATGGACTTTCCAAAGTGTCGGGGGGTGCTTGACCACTGGCTCTTCCCCAGGCCCCGCCCCCGCTCCACCCCTTCCTCCAAGGCCCCACCTACACCCCTCCCCACCCCACCTCTTCTCGCTCCTACTCCACCCATGCCCCGCCTCTTCCTGCCCAGTTCCACCCCCTTCCACCACGTCCTTGCTCCTCCCCCCCCTCAGCCTCCTGCATGCCGCGAAACAGCTGATCGCAGCGTGCAGAAGGCCTGGGGAGAGCGGGGGAAGCTCTGATTCATGGGGCCTGCCGGCGGGCGGGAGACACTGGGGGGGTGGGGGATAGCTGATAAGGGGGCTGCTGGTGGGTGCTCAGCACCCACCATTTTTGCCCTGTGGATGCTCCAGCCTCGGAGCACCCACAGCTTCGGCACCTATGTGTGAATCCAATTAAGGGCTGCCTGTGACCTTTAAAAACACCTCTTCTGGTGAGGGAGATGTGGGAAAAGAGAAGAGACAAGCTGCAGCAGGAAAAAAGGTTTCTCCTGGGTGGAAGGCTGCTCTCCTCCCTATAGGGGAAGCAATCAACCAAATGCCTGTTTGGGGAAGGACTGGCACCCTGGAGCCAGCATAATGCGGCAACACCCCCGAGAGGTGTTATGAATCTGTGTTATGAATTTGTTTCTTTGTTTGGCTGAAGACTACTGCTTGGGCCCACCCTGAGGCCCACCTTGTACAATATTTAAAAATAAAACTTGAGTGAGGAATAAAAACTATCCAGAGTGAGACTGACTTATGACAGGCACCCCCACTACCAAAGGGGGAAATGCTGAACCTGGTGAAGCAAAGGAAGTGTGTTGCCACAGAATCTGTAGGAAAGATTGAGAAGAGGGATACTGTAAAAAAGACTGCTGCTTACTGAGCGCCCCCTGCTGGCCAGGGGTACCTCTTTAAGTTCTTCACCTCTGATTTTTACTTTCTTCAGGGCCGTTTAAGAACTCACAGGGGCTTTTCTTTTGTTAACACTACCCCTCCTGGCACCAGTTTAATGCCAGCAACAGTTTACAAGAACCCAGAGTCCCAAACGGAAGTCCAACAACACAAAGAAAGCAACAAAGAGTCCTGTGGCACCTTAAAGACTAACAGAGTATTGGAGCATAAGCTTTCATGGGTGAATGCCCACTTCGTCAGACGCATGTCCGACGAAGTGGGCATTCATCCACGAAAGCTTATGCTCCAACACATCTGTTAGTCTTTAAGGTGCCACAAGACTCTTTGTTGCTTTTTACAGATCCAGACTAACACAGCTACCCCTCTGATACTTAACACAAAGAAAGTCCATACTTAACTCTGGCATTTTCTTTCACCCTCAGGGCTCTTCTTCCATCCCAGTCTGATCTCTCAGCTCTCCCTCACTAAGGCTCTGATATCCAGTCCCAAACACAGTCAGGTTTCTTACTCCCTAGGGGCTTCCTGCTTACTGGGCTTTATCCTCCAAACTCCCTGGTGTAATGATCCTACAGGAGTCATCTTCTTTCCTCCCGCTAGAGTCCATCAGCATGACTTGGGATTCCCCTTTACTGCAGCCACCTTCCATTTTTTATAGGGAATTGCCTGATTCCCCTCAGATCTCATTCTGTAATCAGGGTTAGCTTGACCCTAGTCTCTCCAGCCCACTGTTACAGATACAATACAGATACAACAGAAATATGTACAGTTTTTACTTTAATTATATATATATGTTTACATATAATAATGCACATTAACTACAGCTGACAAGTTCATCATTAGGCCCCAATTTGCTGTAAGTTCTATGACAGAAATGGGTCTGGAGGAGTTCTCCTCCATTTGTCCATAGTCTTCAAAAAAAAAAAAAAAAAAAAAAAAGGGGAGGAAGAAAAACCCCACAATATGAAAAAAAAAAAAAAAAAAAAAAAAAAAAAAAAGAAGCAGGGTAGATGAGACCCAAAATTACAATGAAAAAATATCAACAAAAAATCTTAGTGATTTTGAGCAGGAGATTGGGGGCATAGGAAGGCAGGGACCATGAATTTCCAGCCTTTGTTTATATACCATAAAGCTATAAAAATGGACACAAACACAATTTTGTCTCCATTGCAGGTCACCTTTAAGCTGAGAGTAGTGTTTTCTTGTAGTTACTTTCTCTCTCAAAGGAATCAGTGCTAAAGTAAATAACTGCATTTCTGTAAAGTTGGGGCAGACCTGGAAGACTAGATCTGTTTCCTTCATAGCAGAACTTGAACAACAAATCTTAGCCACAATGAATGGCAGAGTTCTTATTGTCTCCAGCTTATTATCTGGAGCAGTTTACATAATTCAGGCAAAGAAAACATATAGGACATAGTTTTCCTTCCATAGGCTGGGGAAGGGAGAGTGTGTGCAGTTTAAAGATCACACCGTTTATGTAATACAAAGATTCTTTCCTAGGGCCTCCTTGGATAATGAAAGGCTGCCTTGTTGTTTCATTCTTTGTTTTACAGTAGTGCCTACAATGAGTTAGGTGATCTTCAAACATAGTGAGCCCTTCAGAGGTCTCACTCTCAGAAGACAAATGACAAATAATAGAAGGGAGAAGGAAAAAAAACATGCAAAAATAAATACCTGGGGACACCAAGTGACATTAACTAAAGGCACGGGAAAGCTTTGAAACAAGCATTTTGATGGGGAATGAATACGAACTTCTTGCTTGCTCTCCCACACCTTCACTCACTTTCACCGGGCTGGGCAGGGGGTTGGAGTGCGGGAGGGGGTGCAGGTTCTGGGCTGGGGGTGGGGCTGAGGGATTTGGAGTGTGGGAGGGGGCTTTGGGCTGGGGCAGGGGGTTGGTGTACAGGAGGGGCTGTGAAGTGCAGGCTCTGGGAGGGAGTTTGGGTGCGGGAGAGGGCTCAGGGCTGGGGCAGAGGGTTGGGGTGAGGGGTGCAGACTCCGTCTGGGTGGCACTTACCTTGGGCAGCTCCTGGAAGTGGCCGGCATATCCGGATTCTAGGCTCAAGGACGGTCAGGGGGCTCCAATGGGAGCTGCAGAGTCAGCGCTATGGGCAGGATGTGGGGGCAGTACGCGAAGACCCCCTGGCTGCCTCTTCGCCTAGGAGCCAGATGTGCCGGCTGCTTCTGGGAGCCGCGCAGAGCCAGGGCAGGTAGGGAGCCTGCCTTAGCCCTGCTGACTGGACTTTAGCCTATTAAAATCTCCCGGATTGCCTTTAATAGTCACCGGGAGATTGAGGCCGATTCCAGGAGACTCCCAGCCAATCCGGGAGGGTTGTCAACCCTAGTTCTGAGACTTCTCTAATTTACTCTGGGGGCTGGTCCTGGCCCCCAGCAAGGCCCAAAATACCAGGAGGTGCAAATGAGGCCAACAGTCAAATTTATTCTTCCTTCCCTTACCTGCCATTTTCTTGCACTGACTACATGTCAGCTGGAACAGAGATTTGGGCCCTCTGTTCTCCATCTCCAAGAGCCCTATCTCTCTTCATCTCTTTCTGAATGTTGACCCATCTTTTTGCTTTCAGAACACACACTCACTTTCTCTCCCTCCTGTGTGTCTGTGCCCCTGTCATACTGTTCCAAAAGCTTGAAGATCCTACTCTGACCCTTTTCTCCACTCCTTTTTTTCTTTCTACCCTCACAAGCTCACTCCCCCTGTTTGCTCCAAATCTCCACCTTGCCTTTCCTCTTAAAGACTTTCTAACTTTCTCAACATCTTCCTGACATTGACAGTCTTACTGCTGTATTAGAGCTTAATCATGCAGTCAATGGCAACACTCCTATTGACTTCAGTGGGAGTAGGTTTGTGCCCTTAGCACCCCAACTATACCCAGTTGCTAAAAATGCTTCTTGACACTCCCATGGAGAATTGGAAGGAGATGGCATGGAACTTTTTTAATGCTGATGCTGCCAAATAAAGGAAAGGAGCTACGTAGTAAGTGGCTTAGTTCAAACCTGTGTAATCACAGAGTCTTGGTAGTTAGAGGTGGAAAAGACTTTGCAGAATATCTCCCTAAAACCCCACACTGATTTATGATGTGTTCTTCATAGCCCTACATTTGGGTACAAAGAGTTCATAGGTGAGTTGACAATCAGTGAAGAGTATAAAATAACCATGTTCCATCCAGCTCTGTGTAATGGTCTGAACCTATAGCATCTTTTTTTGTGTAGTGATTCATTAAATTTAATTCTTTCTCTTTTTCTATCTTGTCCTCTGTTTTAGTGGAATTTTCAACACTGGAATTACGATATTTCCTGACCTCACCAAAATCTATTCAGCTGATGTGAACTTTTTACTGTAAGTGTTTGCCCTGCAGATCTGGGTAGAACAGTGCTACAGTCAAGTCCCAAACAATTCTGCAGTGGAGGCTCCCACTTTAGAGAGAGGTGCCAGATAATTACCAGAAAGAAGTACCTTAGCAATCCAGCAAGAACAGTCTCCCTCCATTGTTATCTCTGTTCTTCTGGTCCAGAGCCCGCAAAATGCAAGAGCTGGAGATATGGAAAACACAAAGGGAAAACGTTAACTGAACACATGCAAACCGCTAAATAAATAAATAAAAATAGCAGTATGGCCTCAGTTCACATTCTGAGTGAAGTTTTTAGTGCAAGGAGTTTATCCACATTCACATTCTAATTTAGAAAAAGGACAAGATGTTTTTAAAAAGCAAACAAATAGAAAGGGTAATGGAACTTGTAAGTTCCTTGTTCTGAAGCAGTTTGGTTTCATGTCTTCTAATGGCAGCAGTCCTTAACTCCGTTTTTTCTGGTGGCAGGTGTCCTAAACCAAGGTCTGCTGTCTTTTCTGGAATTATTCCTCTTGCTAAGCTAAGGTGCTGTTGGCTGTAGCGAGCATTCTGGGATGCTTTATTTGAAAGTAAAGGTCCACTTTGAAAAGTGACTTTTAAAAGTGATGCCATGGATCCCAGAGACTTTGGATAAAATTTGCTCAGATTAGAAGTAAAAAGATGTTTTTTCCATCTGACAGCCCTGCATATTCAACTGAGCATATTCTTTCTGGTTCATGCATCACTACCATCAAGAAAAATTCTGCATTTGGAACTTAATAAACAATTTTGTAGATGATGAACCAGATGGAATTGAATCCAGCTCACTCTTCTGTACCTATGTTGGTTCTGCAGGTCTAGCAGGAATTTATTAAAATAAATGTGTAATGTTTTTTAAAGTAGGCAGATTCAGCAAGAACACACAGGGTTCATGTTCTCTAAAGAGTTGCCAATTGTACCATAACTCAATATTATAGTCTTGCTAAATGAAACAATTGATGTTAAATATAATTTATTCTCTGAAGAGAAGACGAGGAGCACATTTGTTGGGTAAAAGATGTCACTTTTACTTAGTCAGTTTTCTGATTCTAATAGCACTTAATTGACACTATATAAAGAACAGAAACATTTTACTGCATGTGTTCCTGCGTCACAATTTTAAAGATTCATAATTGTAAAAGGACTGAAAATCTTTTCTTCAAACTTGGCTTGAACCTTAGATCTTGGAAAGGTCTAAAATTGAGCTAAGTTTGCAGTTTTTACTGTTAGCCATTTTTGAGTCACAGATTTTCTGATTGAGACCTCTCTGTGGGTAAAACATATTTTAGATCCATGCTGGTATAACTCAAAACCAGCTGAACCAATTTTAAACAAATTTTATAATAAAGAGGGGGAATCACTTTTGGGGCTGAGATCAGGCATGGAAAATTTCAGCCCCAAAATATTGTGTGAGAAAATTATTACCAATGGAAAAAGTTTGGAATGAAGATGGTAGTGATAAAAGTTGAATTTTAGCATCTTGTATCATGTATTTATACCTCAAGGGGTAATGAAACAGATCCTGCCACATACAGTGGAATGGACTATACCAGGGTTTCTCAGCCTATGGGGAATGACTCTCAAGTGGGCCATGAGGAGATGTCCATTGGAGCACACCATCCACCAGCTGAAGAAAATCAAAACCTGCAGAATCTTGCGATAGGTAGAACCCAGTGGGAGCCATGGAAAAGTAGAGAAGGAACAATTAGCTCCCTTACTTCTCCCCATCGTATCACCACCGTGTTCACTCCTGCCTTCAAACCCAGTCATGGTGAAACTATACCCTTTCCCTCATCCTTCCTCCCCTCCCTGCCCCAACAGCACTTAGCTCTGAGACAGGAGAGCTGTGGAGGTGGTAGTTGCAAAGGATTTGGGGATGTGGTGGGCTGTGGGACAATTACAGGGCCACTAAGTTGAGATGTACCATTGGGCTAGATGACCTGTGACTAGAGGTCCTTTCCAGCTGCTAGGATTCTGTGCAATTCAGGGTTAACTGTTCATCCTTTCCTTTGTACTAGGTGTAGTTCAGACACATAGGAAGACAGTCTTTATCTTGAACAACTTAGTCTATTTGTGAACTTTTCTTTCATGGTATTCTTCACCAAAATTAGAATTTTATCTTTAACTTTACTTGGAATAAATTAGTTAACATTGTGGTGATTGTTGTTGTTTACTTATCTGCTAATTCCTAGCTTGTGAAAGGAGCAATCTGTCTGTGCTATTATTCAAAAGAACCACACAGGCTGGGCACACATTAGCCAATAATGTAAACCCCATCTATTTTATACAAGCAATTAATGGTACAGGTATTCTGGATACCTACACTTTTTAGGTGGCTGAAGCATTTTAGTCTTCCAGCACATCTGGAACATATAACTTGTGGAACTGTACCCTTTGTTTATGTATTTTTTGCATTTTATTGTGCTGTATGTCAGAGAATCATTAACAATGTTATGCAGATGTTTTATTGCAGTGTTAAGCCTTTTGTTTTCTTTTGCAGTGAAATTGCAGATAATCCTTACGTGACTTCAGTGCCTGCAAATGCGTTCCATGGGCTGTGTAATGAATCCCTTACACTGTAAGTCCTACCAGTTTAACTCACATAACTGTTATATTCCCTGTGTCTCAAGCAAATCACTGTTGTTGTAGGAGCAGCAGTGATCTGTATGCTCTGTATAGCCTGCATGCTCAAAAGGTCTGTTACACACACACACACACACACACACACACACACACACACACACACACACACACACACACACACACACACCCCTACCTTGTCTCCTCTCCCTCTTTGAATACCTGTGAAGTGGCTTTCCCCCACCCCTGGAATGCTTCCACTCCCTCCTGGAATGCTTGTGGGATGAATGGGCTGCTTAAGCAGCTGGAAGATCAGAAGAGCTCCTAGATAGACAAGATGTCTGGGACTCCAGTTAGGCAGCACTCACACACCCAATTCATGGACACTGCATGGACACTGGCTGAGGTGAAGTGTGACCAACCAGACGCAGCCAAGTCATCTCTAATCGCAGGCCATGAGGAGCAGGTCCTTAAAAGGGGAAGGGGCCATGTGCTCAGGAGTGCACTCACAAGCTTGTACCTCCCGTGAAGGCCCTTCGCCCGGACCGCCGGCCAGTGGTTCGCTGCGTTGCATTCCATCGTGCCTCAGGAAGACATACCTTCATCACACCATCCATCGCTGTGCTGTGGGACACTTACCTTAAAGGATCCTGACATCTCCAGTGCTGTGCCTGTCCTGGGAGCGTGAGTATGCAAGTGTGAATGTGACCCCCCCCTTCTTTTGAGCTTAGCTATCAATATAATAAATGTGCTGCTTTCTGCCAAACTGGTGGATCATTAGTCCTCCCTAAGCTAACTAGCTGACCCAATTTCGGGTAACATTAATGGTGGAGAATGCCCAAGAGTAGGGGTCCCCTGGTGCCCCGCGGTGGTCTCTTGGGTGGGTCCGACTCAAGCCTGTGTAAAAAGTGGTAGGCTAGCAACCCACTGCAGGGAGAAAAGGATGCCACTGTTGAGTGCCGGTGTAGGGCAAGGGAGAGAGTTAGGTGTAAATCCCCTGGTTCCCCCTAATAGCTTCTTGAGCGGGTCTGGCTCGAGCCTGTGTAAAAGGTGGTAGGCTAGCAACCCACCGCAGGAAGAAAAGGACACCACTGCTAAGTATGCCACTGTGGGGCAAGGGAAAGAAAAAGGTGAAGCAGCCCGAGCGAGAATACACCCCCTCTTGGGGATCGTCGCCGCCGCCCGGGGTGTTGTTAGCATGGCTCCATAAGAAAGGGGCAGACCCCTGGATGCCAGGGAGTACAATTCCTGAACTAGAGCTCATGTTGGATAAATATGTACTTATATACAGTCCCAATAAGGCGGGACTGGATTGTGCAGCTGCCTGGCTGCTGTGGTAAGCAGGCTGGCAATGGCAGGCAGCAAAGAGTCAGCTCGCCACTGAAATAGACTCACTCAAAGACCAATGTAATGAGTTGGAGAAGGAACGGGATATGTGGAAGGCGCAGGCTCTGACTGCTAGCGCCCAGGTGTCTTCCCTCTCTGTAGCTGCAGTATAGGTGGCGGCAGCAGAGGAGGAGCGGGAGCAGGTGGAAGTAGAGAATGCCGCTCTGAGCCAGGCAGTTACCTGCCTGAAGGATCTGGTCCTGGAGGGGTCCGCCTGGGAAAAGAGGGTCTGGGGGGCTTATTCATCCCGGGTCACCGCCATTGGGGTGAAAGCCCAGGGGTGTGTGGGACCATATAATGATTGGGACAGGGATATCTGGTATGATCCGGATCCCCCGGATCCGGACTCCGGGTGGCCGGACCCCAAACACCATGGACAACTCAAACGAGCAGGGTCTGCTGCAGTGGGAGCACTGTGCTAATTTGTTTCTAAGCTTCTATCTTTTAGCCTCTGAACCGGAACATCAGGAGAGCTGGTACCAGCTGAAGCGTTATAAAAATACCATGGTTATAGTGTCGTGACAAAGTCTGTGTTCAGTGTTCTGTGTTGCATGTTCTGTGTTCCATGTTCTGTGTCTGTCTCTGGTGGGTGTCCTGTGCTACCATTGGGTCCAGAGAGAGAGGGGCTTCTACACTAGACAGGGTAAATGCCTTTTCCTCTCTCTACTTCCCCCATCTCCAACCAAATTATCAATCACATCCACGTCAGTCCAAAAGACTTTGGTCCCCAATGCATCAGGTTTATTTTTTGTTAGGTTCTCTAATAATTATTTTGTTGTTAAGTTTTGTATTGTATTTGTAAATCATTTGTATTGTTAGTTACATTTTCCATGACAACTATGGTATTCCTACAAATCTTATTTGTTGTGTGTATTTAAGGGTTAGGGTTGACATTTATTGTTTGATGGCTATTGCAGCATCAAACTTGGGCCTCATTTTGTTTGTCAATGTACCCAATTATTGTAATGGTGATGGTTTTAGTCAATTGTAATGGTTTTAGTTATATTCATCTGGTTATAACTGTTTGGTTTGTTTGCAACAGATCACCTGTGTCCTACAACAACAACAACAACTACTGTAATGATCATAGATCAAGGGGCGGAGTGTTGTAGGAGCAGCAGTGATCTGTATGCTCTGTATAACCTGCATGCTCAAAAGGTCTGTTACACACACACCCACCCCTTGTCTCCTCTCCCTCTTTGAATACCTGTGAAGTGGCTTTCCCCCATCCCTCCCTCCTGGAATGCTTGTGGGATGAATGGGCTGCTTAAACAGCTGGAAGATCAGAAGAACTCCTAGATAGACAAGATGTCTGGGACTCCAATTAGGCAGCACTCACACACCCAATGCATGGACACTGGCTGAGGTGGAGTGTGACCAACCAGATGCAGCCAAGTCATCTCTAGTCGCAGGCCATGAGGAGCAGGTCCTTAAAAGGGGAAGGGGCGATGTGCTCAGGAGTGCACTCTCAAGCTTGTACCTCCCGTGAAGGCCCTTCGCCCGGACCGCCTGGCCAGTGGTTCCCTGCGTTGCATTCCATCGTGCCTCAGGAAGACATACCTTCATCACACCATCCACCGCTGTGCTGTGGGACACTTACCTTAAAGGATCCTGACATCTCCAGTGCTGTGCCTGTCCTGAGACCGTGAGTATGCGAGTGTGAATGTGACCCCCGCCCTTCTTTTGAGCTTAGCTATCAATATAATAAACGTGCTGCTTTCTGCCAAACTGGTGGGTCATTAGTTCTCCCTAAGCTTACTAGCTGACCCAATTTCGGGTAACAACTGTGACTTGTGAAATAACCATTCAGTCCTAATCTATAGGTTATAAAAGAGAGACACCAGAGACAAATGTTATTCATAGTCTCATTTACATAGTTTTCTTCTTTGCTGCAGTGACTTGGATCAGTGCTGCTATCTTCTTTTTAAATTGACCCTATCAAAGTATTTTAATAGCAGAAATAACGAGAAGAAAGTGATTAAACAGACAGTGGGCAACAGCAATTATGCAATGTATGAGCTGTAGAAAGGAGCACAGAGGGAAAGGGTTTGCAGTATTGCTTCTGTAAAGCTGCAACACAGGTACAGTCAAGGTATGTGAAACACTTGAGGCTAGGGATATGATTCCCTGCTAGTGTACACATATTTGCGTTAGCTGTCATTGAGCTAGCATGCTAAAAATAGTGTAGCCGGGGTAGCAAGGGCAGCTGCAAGCAGTGGCACTGGCTAGATATGCCAAGTACAAACCTGCCTGAACCCCTTGGGTATGTACTCAGCAAGGCTAGCCCATCCACTGCTTGCTGCTGTCCATGCTAGCCTGGCTACACTATTGTTTTTAGTGTGCTAGCTTGATGAGAGCTAATACAAGTATGCTTACAAGAGCTGGGAATCACATCATTAGCTCCAAGTGTAGATGTAGCCCACTAGTACACTTTGCTACAACATAGGTTGAACTCAACTGTCCCTGTCATGCACCATGAGTACAATTAGTTTGAAAACTGGTTGATAGGAGTCCTGGACAGGAGTCCGGGACGAGCCATATTTGGGTGTCAAATATGGTTCATTTTTTTAGTACAAACACAGTCTGAGCCACAGAGAAGAGCACAGGGTGTTCTTCTTCAAGTAGTTGAAGCTGTGTATTCTACTTAGGTGTCTGCACATCCAGCCCATCAGAGCCAGAGAATTTGCCTAGCAGTACCCCTGGGGGGTGGTGCACATGCCTCATGGCCGTAGCTCCTCCCCTGGGTATAGGAGGCAGCGACTTCCCATCCCCCCTCAGTTCCTTCTTACTGCCCATGGCTGGAGTCGGAACTCTATGTAGTTTTCAACCTCACAATCCTCTATTCAGCTACCTTTTTTCTAGTTGTATATAGTTCATTAGTTCACAAAATGGTCTCAAGCGGTGAGGGCTCTTTGTCTGAAGCAGCACTTACTTGAACAGGTCATGCAGCCTGCTCAGCCACCGAGGCCATCATCAGATCAGAGGTCACCCTTGGGTTCGGAGAGTGCTGCCACTTCACGTCTTGGAGCTAGCGCATTTCTAAAGAGACGAAGGAGTCGTTCCCCATTGAGTTTGATGAGGAAAAGATCACATAAGACCAACCAAGGCCACTCCAGATCCTGTGAGCATTTGTCTTCCTCCTCCAGAAGGAAAGTGCATTGGCCCGTGGTGAATGCCAGTTTGCAGGACGGAGCAGGTCCTGTCATATGCTCCCCAGCACTGCACAGGGAGGTTAGAGATCCTGTGCTGTTGACCCCTGTTCCAGCCCTAGGGCATCCATTTTGTCCAGTACTGACAAGAGCGATGCTACCTCCTCTGCCTTTCCATCCCAACCCCTTCCTTGGTCCAGGACTTTGCCAGGACTTTGTCTTTTATAGCCCTGTTGGCTGAGAAAGCCACTGAAACTATGGGTCTGTCAGCGCTGCACCCCAGTGTTTCCTTTTCAGACTCAGTAGAAATGGTGCTGGTACTGGACTTGGAACAAGGGACCTCCTTGGCACCAGGAACTTCTTCTTGGATCAGATTCAACAGGTCATGCTGAGTAGTAGAAAGCCCTCCATTAGGACTACCTACTTGGCCAAGGGGAAATATTTCATTTGTTGGGCCTCCGAA